GTATTTCAAGAGGACAAGACAGCCTTGCCTTCAAAAAAAATATATAAGATTAGACAGAACATATGTAATCAAGTTAAGCAAAGTGTAAATGGAAGGAAACAGTACTTACAATTGTGATAGCGACAACTAGAGAGATGCCTAGACGATAATTCACGGGTTCACCTTTCATTGGTGGGCGCTCGGCAAATTGCACAAGACCTTAATTCCAATCACTTGGTTAAGTACGATAATGAATGCAAAGAAAAAAAAGTTCACCTCGTATAAGGCAAGTTGGACCAATAAATCCAAAAATCAAGCAAAAAAGGAACACGCCGCAAGCAGCCCATAGTCGCGTTTTGATGAATCGGAATAAAGCACGAAAAAGCGAAGGACTTTGAGGACTTCGTTTCAGCTCTTCTTCCCAAAGAACCTCCATTCTGAAGTCAGTTCCATCAGTTCATATTAACTATGCATGAGAAAAAAGAATGGGCTGAAAAAGGTTGCGCATATAAACAAGCATCATTTTTGGCAGCATACTAAATTACCCTTTTTGAGAATTGAGACCACTTGAATTTCTTATGTATTTGGTGTACCCAACTATTAAATTTCTGCAAATGCTTTCTTCTCAAATTTCAGGCAGGTAGGTCGGCTTAAAACTGCAGCACACTATAGAAAATAAAATCTTAGCTACACTGATGCAATCCTCTTCTCTGTTCTGATTAGCAGCAAATCAGAATCACCGGTAAATTCAATCAAACCCCTCCAACTTGAAGTGGACTGAGCACATATTACATGACACTTGCAGTACAAGGTGCGTCGCCTCTATTATCAGGTTGACAGATAACGCAATAAAAAGCTAGTTGTTAACGAAAAAACTGCTTGGTACTTTGTGAGAAAAAACCCGTACTTTTTCACTGGATGCACTCTCTCTGCCCCCGATTTTCTCAAAGTATTGGACCAAGAACATATAGTCCAAATTTTCGCTTAGACCGCTATCAGTTCAGTTCGTTTTGCTACAAGTAAGTGGTCAATATTACCAAAGGTAAAAAGTCGAAAATTCTTGCACCGTATCTAACGTCATTCTTGCATCATATTGACACCTGCAGTGATAAAGCGCGCTGCCGCCGCAAATGATAGTAACACATTCTTCAGTAAATTCTTGATAAACAAATATCGTATGAAAGAAACGAAAAAGCAAAGTGAAACAAAGAAAAAGATCAAATTGATATCGATAAAATGCAACTATCAAATTTCGCATGAAGAGAAAAAGGTTGCACTGAACAAATCCTGCAACATCTGTACTCACCTAGCCATATTCACATTGCTGGCATCATAAATACTGCAATTCCATACTTGATCTTTGTCTAATTTCCCTCTGAATGCCGAGTAGAGATACTCGAAAACCCAACTGTATGTGACAAATGAGAATAAGCCAGATTCATCAATTTTAGCTCCGCCTTTGACACCGCTTCTAAAAAATTAGTAATTCAGGCTGCAGATACGAGAAAAAAA